TAGTTCCATGAATGATGTCCCCATGGATATAATATTCAGTCTGTTGACAGAAAAAAAAAAAAGATGTTCTGCTACAATTCAGTTTCAGATTTCCACTTTTATTTTGGCTTTCTGACTTTCAAACCACCTGTCTGGACTGTCCACTGCTTGTCAGCAGTTTGATATCAACATCAAAGTTCCCTATTGCAAGGACTTTTTTGATACCTGTTCATTTCAGGTATCAACGATTATACCTAGTTCTAGCTTCATAGCGGCATTTACAATTACAGAAACATTGCTCAAAAGGGACCTTTGGAGGTCTTCAGTCCAACCCATCACTTCAGGGAAGCCTATCACTCTCACTAGATCTCATCTGCCATGACTGTCCTGCCAAGTCTTCAAAGCACCTCAGGCTGCTTGCTACCTCCGCTAACTCTGCTACCTCTGTGTTGTTCCTGCATGCTGCAATCTATACATTATGATTTTACATGTTACTGAAAAACAAATAAACTCCCCCCTGACAAATGGCTTCATGCTTTGGAAGGCCCAACAGTCACAAGAACATTTTATAGAAGCATTTTTTTATGAAGTATTTATTTTACCTATTGGCTTTTCTCATAGTAGTCCAGAATGAATTAGGGTGTTTAAGAGTACTTTCCAATCAGAAACTTTCCAATTTACAATAAATACTATTGAGGAAGTAAAGTCTTTGTTTTATATTCATTGCAGCTATGGCAATTCTTGATGCAAGATTGCTTCCAGGCCTGTGAATTGTGTTCTGGCCATGTCCGAGGTTTTGCTGGAATGAAACCAGACTGCATCTTTCTGTGACCAGCTTTAAACAAACAAACACACAAACAAAAAATAATCATTGTGTCCAGAATTTATATAGGAAAAGAAACCCGTGCAGTTCTGTGTCTGTGCTAAGCTAGAAGGCAACACATTACATTCTTACTGATCCTCTGCTTATCCAAACCTGAGAGTCAATACTGTGTCGTGCACTGTCAAGAGCACCAGCCTCATTGGCCAAATGTAGCCACAGAAAACCCTTAAAATTCAAGATTGCTCTGGAGACATTTAAAATCTTTTAAAAAGAAAATTCCCAAGTTTCTCATGAAGTACCAAATATTTTTATCCTCCTCTCTCCTAGCATTTATACTGATCTTCCAAGTTACCAGTGTGTTGCAAATGCTAATTTTAAACAGCAGCTTCTGTGCTTTGCAGCTTGAATATCAAAATGGCTGCTTCCTGCTTGATTATAATACTAGTATAATTCATGTTTAAGGCAGTCAATTTTTTTAGTGAGTAGAGGCTCAATCTGGCACTTGAAATCTTGCCCTTGAAGCCCAGGAGAGTTATAGCTTTGGTTTTTGAGACAAGACAGTGTCCCATTTCTTCTTGCAATTAAAAATAACCACTGAATTTTAGGTAAGAATAGAGGTCAATATACCCAAGTGCTATTGAAAATATTTATCCATACACAAATGGCATATAGTTAAAAGGCCTTAGAGACTGGCACCTTATGCAAACCAATCGAGCTTTCATGGTTACTTTGCAACTAAAACATCTTAAGCAGAACTATAATCTAATTCTGAATAGGTCACACATAAAAGCACAGATGGCTACAGGTAAAAACACTAAATTAATGCTGGTTAGTATTCACTCAGACCTTACTCCTGGGTTTTCAAAGTACTTTGCAAATATTGATCAGCTTGTTTTATAAAGGAGGGGTATCTGTAGCTAGCGTTTATTTTTACAAAGGGTGAAGTAAGACAGGGTATCAGGGGTGTAATCAGAAATAGAAAGGCAGGATCTGGGGTCCCCATCTTTAATTTCTAGATAGCTCACCTTCTAATTAGAATCATGCATGTACAACAAACAGAAACTCTAACTGGCAGGTCTCCAATCAAACAAATCCATTAAAAAACAAACAACAAAAAACTATACGCATATTTTGAAGGCTGGAAAATAAAGTATTTAGGTTACTGAGCAAGCAACTACATGAAACTTAGCTTTCTTGTTGTGCTCTGCGCAGTTTAAGAACTCTAAACTTTGAAGGCTTGACTAGACTCATGAACATTTTCTAAAGGACTGGATTCATGATGCAAATGCAAAAAAAAAAAAAAAAAGAAAGAAAGAAAGAAAAAAAATTTCCACAAGAAGTACACAAAAGTTCCATACTTCTTAGTTTTTATCATTACTGTTATGATGTATAAAGAAACTGAGATTAATTTCCCACAGAGATTATGGAAACACCTTTCTTTTCCAGGCAAATGAAGTATAGAAACAAAAAGTAATGCTAGAGAACAGTAGTGCTCATTAGACACAGACTTGTACTACAGCCTTCAATTGATCAATCAGGCAGTTTAACCCCCATACAATAGCTTTTTCTAAGTTTTCTGACCGTTGGTTTGGCTGATGTAACTTTTCCAATTCTGCATGTGGCCTTCTGATAGAATAATGAAGAGCAACTTATTATTGCTATTACTGTTGTTCTTCATCCAAAAACTGTTGTGTTGCTGTTGCTGCTGTTTTTACTGGACATGACATTGTTTAGCAGGGAAACTTCATTCAGCATTGCATACTAACAAACTAAACCAACCAAACAAACAAACAAAAAAAGGGTTTGGCTGGAACAATATGATCATGATGCCAGGCCTAATCCAACAGAGCTGGTGCAGGAAGGATTAAAATTGCAAAACTACAAACCACCTTGCCAAGCAAGGAGAAGGGAAAAGAGGTGTTCAATCAGATGTAAAGCAGGCAATGTGGGGATATGCAGAGTCAAAGTTAAGCATCATCACGACTTTTGTCCACAGACTTTTGTCACAGAACCCTGGAATAATAAGCAGAGAGGAAGGGAATCAGTGGATTCCCACTACACTTCCCCTTCTCAGCATTACGGCAGCATCACCGATTTTTATGTGGGTACCAGGTGTGGGTACTGTGGGTACCAGGTCTCTCTGGTAAAAAAATAAAATAAAAAAGAAAAGCTTCATTGGCCTAGGTTCCATCACCAAGACTTTCTCCCACATGCAGTAGGTGAAGATCTTCAAAGGCCTCTACATCACTTACCTTCTGGGACCATAAGTGGTGGGAGGTACATGTAAGTTAGTGGCACTGCAAAATACATACTGTGGAACCTAAGATATAACCTGAAGCACTATAGAATAGAAAAAATGACAGTAAATCTAAAAGAATGTATGAAAGATGAAAAGCAATCTTTTTTTCATGAATTGTCATGCCAGATATCCTAGACAACTTGTGCAAAATCACAAGATAAGTGCACAAAGGGAATGCAGCAAATCTGATTTTACAGGAATATTTATGGTTTAATGGGAGGAAAAATGTTTTCTCAACAGATTTTTACAGCCCTAATCAAACACAGAAAGTTCAAATGGTTTCTTTTAGCCTCCACTTAGTGCTATTTTGTCGATACTGTTTTGCTTTGATTTAATTTATCTGGACTTTAATGAAACTTTAGGTACATTACTGCCTGGAAAATTATTACTGACACTGGAAATATGGTGCCTGGTTATGAATATTGCAATGAAGATACGAAGTTGCCAGACATATTGTAAACAGAGTGTAATTACAGTATTTACATTTGAACATCAAAATGGGAAGAAATGCCAAGTGGCATTTCTCAGAAGTTAATATTGGGACTGATACCATCTAATATCTTCCCTAATAATTTGGAAAATTAAGTAAATTGTACATTGATTGAATACACAATAGACACAAGAGGAAGATAAACTACAACACAGCAGGTGGGTAGTTTAAAAAAAAAAAAACAACAGAAGGATCTGGAGGTCTAAGAGGGAGAGAGAAGGGTGCAGTTTAGAGGGAAACTATTTGATGTAGAAAAATGTTGAATAATAAGCATGGAGAAAATTAACATCCATCTCAAGTAACCAAATGGGAAAATGCCAATTTTCATTAAAAAAAAAAAATCCAAGAGATTTCATGGTTTATTCACACTGAAAATTCACATTGGGGTATATGCATCAGGTTTGACAACTTCTTTGCTATATTCCAGCCTGATGTAATTTTACAAGGATGAGTAACAGATTCCCTTAAAAGCCTGCCTTTTAAAATACATTTAAACTTATTTTAAATGTATACCAAATGCTCATGAAAGACCTAATTTATAATTGTGTTAGCAGAAATGGCATAGTAATGAAACATAAGCGACACAGAAGAAGTACATATGAGGTCAAAGGTGAGGGTTGTGAAGCCAAAACCCATCTATCTCTGATACTGTCAAAGAGCTTTAAGTGTTCTCTCTACGCAGTACAGCACAATCCATGAAATACTAGGTTGCCACTGATTTGTTGACTTTAATTTAGAAGCTCAACTACACCTTGAGAAAAGCTATTACTGTAAAAAAAGAAAGTAAGAATCTGATGTTAAGGGGAAAAAATGCCTGAACTGAAAAAATGCCTTCAGTATTTTATTTCTTAAAATAAAATAAAATAAAATAAAATAAAATAAAATAAAATAAAATAAAATAAAATAAAATAAAATAAAATAAAATAAAATAAAATAAAATAAAATAAAATATTTCATAAAATAAAATACTGAAACAAGCTTGCTGCTTTAAATGACTACTGTATACACCGATGAACCTTAAATATCATCTGTAGGACAGAAACTGTCATAAGAATGTATCCTTGCAATAAAATTAACCTGTAATTATATAAACTCACAAAGTATTGAAAATGTATTTTATGACAGAAAAAAAAATAAAATACATGGACTCTATTACAGAACTTCTCCAGGGTGAGAATCTAAGGAGCACACTATCTTTTCCCCATCGTTTTTTGGTTAGTAATACCTATTCTATGCAAGTATCTAATTTCACCACGAGTGATTCATTATAAGACTATATAAAATTTTATCAAACCAAGTATTATTTTTCTTCCTAACACAGTCATCCAAATATGTCTGAATGCATACAAAATGGCTGATGTGACAGCAGTCAATGGTATTTTCTTACGTATGCTTAAAAACCTGCTTACCAAGGGGAGCCATATATTCTGAATCCCCTCACGGTCACTTCAGAGTCTTGAAGATAGATGCAGTTTGTTAGAAGAGACTGTACATTTTCATAGCTTTCTGGCTTCAGCTTAGAAACAGAGGGGAAATAGTAAAAGTCCTGCTTGATTAAGTCAGCCATGAATTCCTGGTCAAAGGTCAATTCGTGATTTCCTGCTATCACAATCTTGTATTCATAGGGCAGGCTACCTAAAACAGTGAAAAACAAACAAATTACTTGTCTTATGGAAAATCCAATAAAAAAAAAAAAAACAAACAGGCAGACTCACAAACTATCATCAATTCTTATAATATGTTCCCATATTTGAAACAATTGAGCATATTCCTACTCACTGTTACTATAATTCCTGGTGATTTCAGGTAAATGACATTACTGTCTTTTTCAGGGCACGGTACGATTTAGCTTGCTTAGCATTAATGTGCTGAAACTACTTTCAATGCAACCTTAAATAACGGTCTGCAGACTTCTGCTCTAGCATTTACTCCTATTTAATTGCCGTTTGTGTTGCAAGTATCACTTACTGTGACAGTGATGACAACTCAGTGTCAGAAATTACAGTTCAAAGGAAACTGTCCACAACACTTGAAAAAATAATCCCAGTTCTCTTCTCCCAGACCTGCGGTCATTATCAGCTTGCACTGAGGAGGTCTCATCAACTCAAAGCTTGGGTCAACCAGTGGGGTTTGCTGCCCTCTTTGCCCTGATATGAGGACCAAGCCATCACGCAAGACAGGGCTTGGGCTTTGCTGTCAGAATTCCACATCCCCAGGAGGAGTTTCAAAGTTTGCCTCTGTCCGGTTTTTCTCTGTTCCATTTTCTCACTGACTTCCTTAGACCCATGGACTATAATTTAAAATGACTCATGTTTGAGAATATTTTACAACCCGTATTTAGTGAAAAACCTAACAACCTCCTGCTGAAGGCAAGAATATATATGCCCACACACAAAGGCTCTCCTAGAGCAGTACTGCAACAGAAACTTTCCTCCCAACTCCAAGTTTGGTTATCAAATGGACTCTGCACGTGGAAGCAGCAATCACCTGTCCCAAAAAGATCAGCAGAAACCTTATACATACATCTGAGAGGAAGCAAAGGCGGAAACTGTAAAGCTGCACTCACTACCTTGTTTCTGTAGTATTTATTTGCATCAGATGAAGACAGTCAGAACAGGAGAATGGGAGAAGTAGTACGTATTTTATTGAAAAAGAGACCAACCTGACACAGTAACAATCTTATAATTTCTAATTTTAAAAATGTATTATTTGTAACATTATATACACCTTTAGTGATGATCCCAAGCCTAACCCAGAATTAGGATGTTTAGAGAATGTAAGTTACCAGACCATATACAGAGGCAGAAGTTGGCATTAGTAGGACTGAAGGATAAAATTCAACAGTGTGATTCAGAGCTCCAGAAAGAAGTGAGAGCAAACAGCACTAATCCAGAGGAGATATCATGTAGCTGAACACAGTGTCTGACAAATGAAAATATGAGTAACTCCTAAATGTAACTTCCAGGCACTTCTAACACCTGCATTACGAAATTTGATCTTACAGTCTTTCCTGTGGACCCAATACATATGTGCCTTTAGAAAAAGTACTGCCAGAAACTCTGTTCAGATATTTATTATTACACATTGAGAGTTCATTATTTAACTGGAAGACTACTTGTAATATAAATATGGCAATTTTTTACTTCTGAAATGCTTCATGTTTTGCAGATGTGTACTCCATTTCCACAAGTTTTCTAGGTGGTGCACACATAAGTTAAAAATGTTATTTACATGCTGCAATATGTATGGCATCTACAGGCCTTAGAGCATTCTTGGGAAAAAAAGAAAAAAAAAAAAAAAGAAAAAAAAATATTCCACAATATTGTTAACAATTCCATTTCTATTCCATTGTGTAAATCTTTTTCAGCTCATCTGATCCATCCATCTAGCAGCCAGCAACCTGCATGAGCTGGTTATAGTTGTTGCTTCCACTAATGTATTTATGTCATGTTGCTGTCTGTGGGTGTTACTTAGGCAAATTAGCAAATTACTCTAAATGTACAGTTACATTTATTACAGTGGCGGCCAGAAGCACTGCTGCAGTTACAGGTCTGTCAGCTTTTCCATTAACAACTCTGTTTTTGATGAGTTTGCAACTCAGGTTTTTTTCCTTTCTTTTCCTTTCATTCCATACCAGGTGGCAGCTTGCTAAACCTATTTACCTCTCTTTACCCGTTAAATCTTATTTTTTTGTCTAACACAGAGAGGTATTTTTGCTGCTATTTTTTGTACATAAATTTAACAGTATTTTGCTTCAACTTTGTCCTTTGAAGACTTACGAATATGTTTCATTTTTTACACCAGGAACACTCAGAGTGCAAAGTTAACCTTAGAAGGAAATCTTTGAAACCCTGTTTTTGGCTGGGTGCTGCTGTCATGTCATGTACAACTATATGTATAAGACCTCAATTAAGTGCATGCAGACAAAGATTCTCAGCTATCAGACCATGATATTATTGACATGCTTCCTACCTTCCCTGCTTCCAGCATGATGAGTACTTACCTATTCTTATGGCCAGTCCACATGCAGAAGTCAGCACCGAATGCTATACATCTTGCTGCACTAAAGGCACAATCCTCATACCACTGATCTAAAAGGTACCAGTACCACCTTACTTTAGCAGGAACACAATCCAACATGGTGTGTAAACACAATCCTGAGAAACTGCTAATGTTACAACTGCTTTTTACAGTTTAAAGATCCACCAAGCAAGCATTAGCAATATCTGATCGATAGTTATCTGAAAACTACCTCAGAGCAGCAACTTTCTTTCCTACTTCTTACCTACAGCTTTTTACTTTTTCTCGTTATATTTAAATTATTTTGTATTTTCTTATTCTAGCATGTCCTTCCAAAACAAATATATAGTTTTCCAACTCTAGGCACAGACTATGGCACAATTTCTAGCCCTGATTTGGTTCTTGGCTAGGACCAAGACCTCTCCAAGAGAACACAGCCCAACAGCTATTCTACAGCCTGAGTTTCTACACGTGCCCATAACTTGAGAACAACCACTTTTCCATCTACTATCTTCTGTGCAAGTAGCTCTTGATCAGAGATCATTCAAACACTTCTACGTTGACCAGTTTATTCCCACACCTGCTCGTAGGTGCTAATGGCAAGATAGGTAGAAATGACATCAGGAACATTTCCTGTCCTTTTTTCAACAAACTGAGCTGAGAATATTGAATTTCCACTTGTGAAGGTTTTCCTGCATTGGCAAGAATGATTCCTACCAAGAGCTACAGTGCAGAGGGGTTCTTTCGTCTTCCATTTGCAAGCTCCATAAAAACAAGCCTGAGCACTGAGTACCATTTTCATTTGCTAAGCTGTTTTCCTTTTTCTTTCCAAAATAGCCATATGTTAAATATAAAGTTTCCCTAACACTCAGCCATGTAGTTCATTGTAATGACACCATTATAATGAACCTGACTGCATCAAGAGTGACTAACAGCCCTGGGGTGAAGCGGATGGAGCCCCAGTGGTACCTCAATCCTCCCAGTTAGGGGTTCAACAGCTCAGGTGGGAGGGGGTGCATCCCATAGTCTGTATCTGGTTGTGCAGCAGGTGCTGAAATCACCTTTTAAAAAAAAAAAACACACAGCGCCCTTTCTGAAGAACAAAGGCTATTGTGCAGGGGTGGTATTCCCTCGGCAAACTTAGTCAGTAGTGTCCTTGCCAAAAGGTTCAGTAGGAATGCGGTAGGAAGGGTTTCAAAGTAGGTGTGCTCGGGAAAGGGTTGTCATACCATGAAGCAAAGGCATGGGGGCAGTGAGGAAGCAGCTGGGATGCTGGGGCAGCTGGGGGCAGCTCGGGGCAGTGAGGAAGCGGCACAGGATGGTGAAGGGTCTCACATTGCCCTTGTGAAACCAGTCTGACTGTGGTTCTTCTCAGGTACCTATATGCAGACACATAACATAGAGTACTACCAGGAGGAAGGAGAATTCCACACACGGTGGAGAGCTGTGACATCTCTGAGGCTATGGAGCCATAGTGGGAAAGCTTGCAGCTGAAGTGTTGCAATAGATGGACACAGGCTGTCTATCATCTTCGAAAAATCAGGGGTATCACATAAGTTTCCAATGTCTAGAAAAAGGCAGATGAACCACCCATGCTCAAGAAGGGCAAGAAGAGGAATCTGGGGAATTACCAGCCAGCAGGCCTCACATCAGGTCTGGGAAAATTATTGAACAAATCACCCACAAAGTCATTTTCTAAGCACATTAAGGTTAGCGGGAATATCCATCATCGATTTAACACAGGCAAATCATGCCTGACTAACACAATTGCTTTCTCAGAGGACATGATTGACTCCATTAATAAGGGAGAGCATTGGATTTTGTTCACTGGGACTTCAGCAAAGCCCTTGACACTCTCTCATAGCATCCTTATGGCTAAATTGGTGAGATATGGATGGCTGAATACTGCCTGGATCACTGGGTTCAAAGGGCCAGAATCAATGGTACCAAGTCCAGCTGGCAGTCAGTCGCTATAGTTATCCTCAGCCAATAATTCTGAGACCAATGCTGTTCTCCATCTTTACTAACAGCCTGGATGATCAGATGGAGTGCATTTTCAGCACATTTGCAGACAACACAAAATTAGGGGCATGGATCTGCCAACAAAGAGAAAGGCAGGTCTGCTATAGTAATGAATATCCAAAAGCTGGAAAAATGGGCTGACAGAAACATCAAACTTTATCAAAAGTGAATGCAAAGACCTGCACCTAGGATGGAGTAACCTCATTCAACAAAACTACTGAGTTGTCTTCCTTAAATCCACTTCCTTAACTCAATTTAAGGAAAAAAAATACCATTAGGATGGTCAAAGTGTAGAAGATGTGCCCAGAGCAGCTGTGAAATTTCCATCCTTGGAGATGTTCAGAATTAAACTGGACAAGGCTCTGAGCAGTCTACTGTAACTACAGCTGCTTTGAACAGGAGGATGGGCTTGATGACCTCCACAAGTCCCGTCTATCTTTTGTGTCTCCAAGTTCACACTGGAAAATGAAAAAGAATTTTAAAGAGCCTGTAATGCTGAAACAAATTAAATACTCATTTTGTGTAGTGATTCTAACAGAACAAATCTATGGTAGAAAAGCTATTTAACAGGACTAGAGAGTATGTTCCATTAA